GGTAGATTAAAAAAACGGTATCTGACCCAGCAAGAAATATTTCTAGACATGTTTTTATTCCAGTGGAGAGAAAGGGGGATTTCAATTTTCCCTTGAAGCATCTGCAACCCAGCCATAACACGTGCATGATAGATAATACATACGAATTTCAGAGTCAAACTGACCGGAACTGGAATATATATATATAAAGGGAAAGCAACTCTGACATTTTCACACCCGTCCTCCACTAAATGCCAGTAATAAATTATATTATGATAAGTAGTAATCTAGGTGCCTAAAATTCATGATTGACAATATAAAGCCATCATACCCTTGAGGTTCCTTGTTAAAAACTGTGGTTCTTAAAACATGAATCGCCTCTTGTGCAGCTGCCGGACTTCCCGATTTAGGTTAGGTTTATTTCTTATCTCTTTCTGATGAAGGCTTTTACTGCCTGTTTCACTGAGAAGCGGAAAGTCTCCCATTGCAATAACTGCCTCAGCTTGATGGGGCCTTTTGAAGATTATATGTAACAGAAGAAAAAAAAAGCTTCTGAATTTCCTAGGGGGAAGCTCGTGCACTGGAGATGCCCAGAGGTTTCTGTCCATCTGAACTGCTTTCAAAACTTAAATTCCTCACCTGCAGAAAAAAATCCCGTACAGGACACAATACCACTCCTGCTTCGGGCAGGAGGATGGCCTAGATGACCTCCTGAGGTCCCTCCCAGCCCCACTTCTCTATGCATCTATACGACTCCCATATGTTTCTGCAGGTCCTTTCTGCATTGCTCTTGCCCTAGACAAGGAGCTTGCCTTTCTTTCCCCATCTCGAGCAAGTCCTTTTGCACCCTGAACTGAACAGGGCTCACAAAAGCTGCAGAGTAGCATTTAAACGAGGGGGGGGGGGGGGGGGTGCAGGTAGAGTTTCCACTGAGACTTGATGACAACACAGATCTGTTTCGGGGTGGAAATATTCCTCCTAAAATAAAAGAATAATGCAGCCAACTTGGAACTGAGCTGCCCTGACTACCTGCCCCATGTATCAGGGAGCAGAAACCCCAGCAGCCTCTGGAGAAGCAGCAGGGGAACAAGCCCTCATGGACTCACGGACAAGGAGGGCTGGAAGGGACCTCGGGAGGTCACCTCTAGTCCAACCCCCTGCTCCAAGCAGGACCAGCCCCAACTACGTCATCCCGGCCAAGGCTCTGTCTAGCTGGGGCTAAGGATGGAGATGCCACCATCTCTCTGGGTAGCCTGTCCCAGTGCTTTACTACCCTCCTGGTGAGAAATGTTTTCCCCTAGTATCTAGCGTCAGCTTCCCTTGGTGCAACTTGCTCCATCCCCATCTCTCCCTTTGCAGCAGAGCCACAAAGAGGGGAGACCCCAACGCATGGCACGCGGACCCTCTGGACCTGATGCGCACCACACAGCACCCTTCGGGCCCAGTTCCCACTGCACGGGGACCCTCCGGGCCTGATTTGCACTGCACAGGGACCCCCAGGCCTGATCTGCACTGCACAGGGACCCTCCGGGCCCAGTTCCCACTGCACGGCGACCCTCCGGGCCTGTTGTACACTGCATGGCAAGCCTCCGGGCCTGATCTGCACTGCACAGGGACCCCCAGGCCCACGTTGCATGGGGCAGGGCAGGAGGGGGGGGCTCCAAGCTGCCCCCAAGGAGGCGCAGAGCTGCAAGGAGGCGCAGGGCAGGGCAGGAGGCAGCAGCAGCAGGGCGGCCAGGCCGGCTGCTGGGACTCAGCTGTCAGGCCCAGGGAGGGGAGGGGGCGGGAGGG